CTCGCCACTCCTATTTTGGATTGTACTCGATGATTCTAATTCAATATGCTGATCTAACAATTAATATGGGATCTTGTGTATATGTATACGGTCGATAAAGAGTGGTCTGTCGACTAGTACTTGGAGTGGGGTCGAAGCACCCCCCTCATCCCATTCGATTTTTATTTTTATTTTTCTGATAAAAGAAGTGCAGTTACCATTACTTCTCTTCATTGCTCTTCAACCCCTTAGTGTATAAATGTTAGTGTTAATTAAAGAGAATGATTATTGTCATTAAAAAACTTGTTAAGGCTATTGTTATGCAAGAAAACTTAGCTCTTTCTTTTCTTTAATTTCTTTCCACCCACTTGAAGAGTATGAATATGTGGTGGTTTAATTTAAAATTTCGAATTTTTAATCATTTAAGAAATGTTAATGATATAAATAATTTAATAGTAAATATCTTTCATTAATTAAAAATAAAAATATTTAAATTAAAGTCATGTAACATGTAAATAAAGTGAATTAAGAGATAAAAAATAATTTTTTATGCAATTCAAAATTGAAAAAAAAAAACCATTCGAGAGATCTCTTATATAGAGCCTAAAGCAACTTGCTTTAATGATTCCCTAATTACGTTCGGCCGATCAAATTTAATTAATTACTGAAATTAAGTATATAGGTAGATAGATGCTTAAACCCTAACCTAAGCAACCCTCACATGAAAGTTAAAATGCTACATGAAAGTTCATAATTATCTATTCATATTTGGCACATGCTGTGGTGGAATATCTTTCGTCTTCTTTGTTCATGCTGCATTATCTGTTACCTTGTTTAATAAAGTGGATCTTATTGTTTATAAGGAACTTAAGGGTGCTCTAAATTCACCTTCAAGGAATGCTGTAGAAATAATTCAGAATACTTCATTGACCAATTCTTAAGAGAAAGCAGGTGTTTGAAGCTACTATAGTATCTTTCTTTTTCACTGGTTCTCCAGTGCTCTACTGATGACTCAATTCTCAGGTGCTTGGCTTGAGTTGATGTGGTTATTATAATATGATTTTTCTAATTTATGCGCTAAGGGTATAATTAATACACCTTTTAGCCATTAATTTATATAGAAAAACAAAGAAGTTGGATATTAGTTTTAGCATCAATGTCACGTGTTTTAATATATTTAATTGATTAGTTGTTAAATTATGTATTCACAATTGCCTAGTAAGAGTGCAAGAAAGGGCACTTGGCCTTTTGAGCCGACTAGCTTGCACTTAGTTTTGAAGAGGCGGTTCCACCAGCATAATACTGATTCAAATTCTTTATCACTTGAATTTTGAACTATTTCAAAACAAAAAGTGTAAAGAAAAAAGCTATTAGCAGCATGTGTGATATGCGTTTAGTTTAGAATTTGTTATTTATAAATTACATGTGATTTCTTTTATTATTATTTTATCATTTTATTATTTTTATTTTTAAAAATTATTGTTATCATATAGATATTTAAGTTTTTTTTTTTTTATATAGATATTTAAGTTTTTTTTTTTTTTATGAATCAAAAGTTTTATTATAATAAGGAGTACAAGAGTACTCCACCTATAGATGTAAAGTCACATTACATGAAGGTTCCTGCAAGGATCGATAGTCTAAAAGCACAAAACTATAACACAAAATGGGGCTGAAACTATGAACATCAACACTATCTTCTAGTAGTTTTTTGAGCACATAAAGAAGAAGAAATGCACCAGGAGGAAAAGGGAAATACTGAGTATACTTCCCCCTTATCCAAGCAAAGGACCTCCTTTGGATTAAATCAAAAGTCTTGCCCTCATCCCATTGTTGTGAATTATGGATAGTGGAGTTCCTCATAAATCATATGGACCATGTAATCACCAAAAATATAAGGAACCAAAGATCAGATTTTACTAATTGTTTAATCCCTTGGTTGTGAGCTTCACAAAGTAGATCAATTGAGTTGGGGAGAGATAGGGAAATCCCCCACCAATTGTAGCATTTCATCCATAAGTTTTAATATATTAAGTATAATAAGTATACACATAAAATTTTAATTATATTAGTATATGTAATATATTAGTCAAATAAAAGGGTTAAATAGGTCGATAAACAACTTTAAACTCTTATATTTATTTGCGAGTATAATATTTTCATACTCATTATTTACGTAATTTTTTTACAATTTGAGTAAAATACTTATCTAAATGAGTAAAATACTTACAAATAACAAATATACCCATACCCAATACTCATCCCTATTGTCAAATATTGATTACTAGTTGCTATTATCTTTTGTCATTAAATTGTAATATATTAAACATCAAACGCGTACCTCTAAAATGGAAATTCAAATTCAAATCTATAATTGTCCAACATTTATTTCAGTGTAACCGTTACACTAAAAACAAAGATACTACTAATTGCATCAGGACTGGCACACTTGATCTAATGCACAAGAACACCTATAAGTTCCCTGCGGCGAAGTCTGAGGCCATAATGGCTAATCCTCCATTATCACATCTTTTACAGGATGATAGCCGCCCATGATCCAGATGACGGTAAGGAATTCTCGGCCATATTGTCCCAGCTGCTGTACATGGCTTACATGTTGGTACGAATGTGCTGCGTAAAGAAGCATCTCAATCCACATTTCCTTTATGAGCTCCCATTTTTTACTGCTTTGGCTCAAATTTTGGGCAAGGTTTCCTGCAAATTTTGGTAGATCCTCCATCGCAGTCTCCATGGCAGTCTTGGTACTTACGTGCATAGAAAAAAAAAAAAAAAACGGAGAAGGTAAGTATAATTAAAAATATTGATTAATTTAATTAAGTTTGTTTATAAAAAATAAAAAATAAAAAATTAAACCTGAATAGGGTTGGGTCCGGTAACAGTGACTTGAAAGCAGCGTCCTTGTCACGTTCCTTAGAGAAAGCTTCCCTGAGCATACGAAGAACATGATCCAACCAGAAACTCCTACAATGCTCAGGCAGTAGCATATCAGATCGCATGGCCAGCAGATACATCATATAATTTGATAAATATTTGCTAGCCTCCATGGCTTTACTGCAAGCATTGGGATTATAATCTTGACGGTAACAAATACTTGTGGCCAGGTGCCAGGCTATGATGCTGTAATCAAAGTCCGCTTGGATGCTCATTTCGAGATCATGTATGTCAGATATTTCCTTAAGTGTCTTCTCCCCCCTTGTTGCCTCAAAGGAATTATTTGAAAAGAAGGAATCTAACCGTCTTAGGTAAAATTCTCTTTTCTTCAAACATCTGGGAACTTCCACAAACCTGGGATGACTATACTTATGCCTATGATAAATTTCAAAAATATCACTGCTACAGTACTTTTGTAGAAAACTATAAAGCCTGCCCTTACTAGAATTCCAGCAATAATCCAACAAATCAAATTGTCCCATCAATCCGGACCACCTCTTCTGTTGAGGTAAGAAGCAAGGACAATATTGCAAGACAAGCTGGAGAATCTTGCGTACCAAACAGTTGCCATGAAATAACATCAAAATTACCGCCCAATCAGAAGAAAGCATTGAGAACACAGCACAAAATTCCAGTGCAACAGCTCCGACCAACAAGCTCATTGTTATGAAAGTATCAACTATTGAGAAATGTAATTTTACGTCTTGCATGAATCTGATCAGGAAGAGCACCAGAACCGCCAAGGAGCAAATGAAGCTGCTGAGACGCAAGAAGCATCCTATCTTGGTATAAATCAAAGCAGCTTTTGTGTAAACAACATCAAATATAAACCCCAATTCTGCAACAGCTACGTCGAAATGATCAGTCAAATTGCTACTACTTTGCACGTCGCTTTCAAGCAACTCTTGCAGAATTAACTTGGCTTGATTGATGAATACACACCCCGTACTTTCCTTTAGATAGGCTCGTATCCTTGCTTTAAGGGACGGGAGATACTTCTTTTGGCCGAAGTAATCATTGACATGTGGTCTCATGGTTGAAAATAATGCATAGCCTTGGAGGACTATTTTTGAATCTCGATTTTCTAATAATGGGTGATATAGATAATCAGGATTTTTAAAGACGGAAATGATCCACTTGGTTTTCTTAGCGTAAGTGGCCTCAAGACACATAATCCTCTCTACATATTTGATGATTCCAGCTACAGTGAGAGGAAGTGTCAAAATGGACAGCCAATATTGGGTCCATGCCAAATAAATGACATAAATGGCAAAAAGGGATTGGACAACTAAGATGAGGAGATGTCTGCTCCAGAGCTTGGTATCTTGAAAAGAATAGGCAGTGATGGTGTCAGGGCCACCGAGATGAAGTATAAGTAAGGGAGCCCATAGTGCTTTTAGAACATTGGAGGTGGGAGATTCTGCATGGGAATTAGAAAGCTTACCAAGAGCGGCAAGGGCAACCCAATCCTTGCTTTGGTAGGCAAACCAGAGAATCATTCTGTTGATAAGGCTAACACTGTGCTTCCTACTCTTGCCCAAGACAATGAGAGCAGTTTGTAAGAGTAGGCTCAGAAGAACAATAACCCTCACATCCCATGCATTCCATGTCTTCCGCATCCAAAGTGAAAATGAGCTTACAAGGGCCTTCTCACTGTTTTTATACACATGCATATACCAAGCAACGTCAAAACTTGAATTAAAATGATTGCAATTGATACTTATTACTCCCCATTCTTATTTATGTGTTCACTTTGATTTTTGTATAGGTAATTTGATGTAATGTTTTTATTTAGCATATCTGTGCATAATAATTGAATTTTTTTAATTAAATAAAACTACTCAATAAATATTATGTGTAGAATTCATATGAACATGTAAATAGAAATAGGGAGAGTATTATAAAATTTGCTGGACATACCTTCCAAACATTGCTAATGGTGCATGCCCTTAGCAATATTGCTTAATATATAGGACAAAACCTTTCTCTCTTTTTTTTTTTTAATTTTTTTGGAATGGTATGTATGGACTATGATGATCGACGTTCAATTTATAGACACTCAAGTCAAGAGATGGAGAACCCTTCGTGCATCGGGTTATACTTATGATACAATTAAAGAATTAAACTTTTTCCTATGATGCACTTAAAGTATTAGAGACAATTCTTATGATTCACTTCGAGTTACGTGCACAAAAAGTTGAACAAAGGTACAGTTTTTTCCATCCATATTCTCATTCTTTGCTTCAACACTATACAGTTGGAAATTAAAGTAGCTAATTTGAGAGCTTTAATATCTTTTCCATTGTAAAATGGAGTAAAGGTAAAGCCAGGAATATAATTCTATCAAACCCATGCAGATAAAAAAAAAAAAAAAATTCAAACCAACGTTTTCCATATGGAAAGGTGAAAACCTTATTAATATTAATAAGGAAAATATGTTTTTTAGATTAGACTGCACAATAAAAAAGGGTGCGGCTTATGCTTGTGAAAGTACTCATATACATTTAATGGATCTTTCTCTTACAGTTTTTTGTGCAGTCCAAACTTAAAATATCCAATCTCTTATAATAATATAACAATAATCCATCGTTTGGTTTAATTATTTGAAAGAGTCCAATAGAGTAGTGGATATTCAATTATTGATATTTTTTGGACAATAAAACATATATCTTGTAAAGTTACATATTTTATTACACACTCTATTATATACTAATAAAAACCATTAATGTGTAACAAAAATTATTAATTTTAACGATATAAGTAACAAAAATCATCAATTTTAATAGCACAAATAACAAAAATTATCAATTTTAATAATATAAAAAATAAAAATCATCAATATATAACAAAATATATGATTTGTAGGGTGTATATATCACTTCCTACCTAGGACAACAAAGACAAAAAAAATAAATAAATAAAGACAAAAAAATTAAAAGCTTGGTTCCATTTAACATACATGGAGGAAATAGTGTTGGTCCCATTTATGTCTCATCCATTAAATGGCTATGTCTCATCTATCATGTGGCTGTATATAATTGTGCGTCATGATTTTCTTATGATGGTGGTGGTGCTGCTGCTGCTGCTGAAGAAAGTTGAAAATTATGAAATGTCATAATTTTTAATTTGTAAAATTATTCAAATGACTTTAGTTAATCTTCAGTATAAGTTAATTTATCAAGAGTATGTTAGTATTTTCATTATTATTTTGACAACATCCTGATTTTCTTTAATTTTATATTAATAATAAT